GTTGTCTTGGGTCTTAACGCTAGAATGCGAGAAATCAAAACCCAGGCAACCATTATTGATCTCCCACGTCTGCAATCGACCTTCAGCAATCCAAGTCGACGAGGGTTTGCAACCATGCACCGAGGACGACTATCAAGAGGCTGACCCGTGCGGCTTACTTCAAAGCAATCCAACGCACATTCCCGCGAACGCCCCAGCACCACTACAATGGGACGGAAAATCGGACGAAGACCAAATCGAATTCTCTCCAGCGTTGAGAATAAGGTACCCACAAATCAAACTGCCACATTTCACTGGTGAGAACGATTCCTGGGAAGAGTTTTGGGACACTTTCTCGCTCATAATTGATCAAAACCCGCAACTCAGTGAATTAGAAAAGATCCTATACCTCAAAGACGCAATACGCGGGAAAGCCCAAAATTCCATCAAAAGCATCCCAATGAGAAGTTCCAATTACAACCTTATTGTCGAAGTACTGAAAAAGAAGTTCGGCGATAAAGCGAATAACAGGTCCCAAATTGTACAAATCAAATTGTACAGCAATTGTTGGACCTACCAAAGGCAGCCACAGCAGCCCAAAAATGTGTTGAAACTCTCGAAAAAATAAATGATCTTGTTTTCCAAATGGTTGCCACTGGGTATGATATCCGCAAGAAACATGACCCGATGTGGATCGACACGATCCTCGCGAAATTCCCATATGATATAATAAAAGACTGTATGAAAGCATCCTCAACCGACTCAAAACTAACAGTCGGTAGGCTCTTGGAGGAACTTCACGAACATGTTTCTTCCAAAGCACTATTTGAAAACAGATATGCGTCATTGACCTCAAGACGGATCAATGCTGAAACAGCGCAACGCGCGAAGACTGCCAAGCAAGAATCGTGCTTATTTTGCCAAAGGAATAACCACCAAACAAAGGATTGCACAGTACGAACCCCAATCGATCGTCGAAACGCACTGAGGGGTCAACCCGTCTGCTGGAAATGCTTTGCGAGCGACCACAGAAGTCGCGCTTGCTTTCAAAGGAATTGTCCCAGGTGCAACGGAGATCACCACATTTCTCTATGCTCCTACAACGCAGGAGAAACTTCTTCCGTAACATCTTCTGTAACAAGTGCACGCACGAAATCACAAGACGAGACTCGCAAAACATCCAGTGGTAGCGATAGAAAAACTACCACACAGAAGGGCACATACCGTAATCAGACCAGTCACATGACTGTCGATAAAGTGCAAGCAGCCGCACCGACAAAAGAGGAACAAAAAGCCGTGAACAGTTTCTCGAACCAAACACATGGAAATTCTCACGAGAAAAACCTCGTCCTCATGACAGTGGAAGGACAGATCAAGAACAACGCTAATGGCTCATTCGAGAACGTCCTGATTTTCCTCGATTCGGGGGCTCAATGCAATTTGATTGCTGCCAGCCTGGCTGACGCACTCGCTCTTCCGCGAGGTGACCCATACCAATGCACAATGCACGGAATTGGAGGAACTGCTCAAACCTATACGGCGCAGCAAGTGACAGCCGTTTTCAGAACGCGGTTCGGAGAAACTCTCGCCATTAATTTGAGCACCAAACCTGTGCTCACGAACGCATTTCCTGCCGCTACACTTACGGATTCGGATGTCCAATTCCTCAAACAAAACCGTATCTTTCT